ACGCTCTGCTAAACCGTTCGAGCGAGGTGTTCGGACTGCCACCTTGATGTGCTGGACGTTGTTCGTTTCGCAGTATGTCCCAAATGCTGCAGACGTGAATGCGGTGCCACGATCCGTGACGATTCGTTGTGGCAACCCGAAGTTCAAGGACAAGCTATCCAATGCTTCGATGACCGGCTTGCTTTTCGTTGATCTGGTTGGAGCAACAACCACGTATCTCGTGAGTGCGTCTACGATCACGAGGACATATTCGTGGCCTCGTCGACTTTTGACAAATGGACCAAGGTGATCCAAATGCAGTGTTTGGAATGGCAATTCAGGGATGTCCATCCCGTAGAGTTCACACTCCTTGCGTTTCGGCTCTCGATTGTAACAACAATCGATACAGGATTTTATAAAACCTTTCGCGAAGTTTCTTAATCGAGGGAACCAGAAGTTTTGTAGAACTCGCTTTATAGTGCCATCTACCCCTGGGTGGACCACATCGTCATGGCATAACTTAAGCACCCGCCAAAGCATTCCCTTCGGGACAACTAACAGATGGCGGCCGTTGTCAACTTTACGAAATAGTCGGTTATTCTTTAAGCAGTAGTCGCTGCTAACATTAGATTGTTGTACGCCACTGTTGGCATTCAGCAGCATTTCGATGACTTCTTTCACCTTTGCGTCTTGGCTCTGCATCGTACATACCCAATCATCCATCGACAGAGATAGTACCTTAGCCCCAACATCTTCAACGGGCTTCGGCCCATCAACTGGCGCACGACTCAAGGCATCGACATGGCCCATCGACAAACCAGAGCGATGCACCATGTTGTAGTCATACTCCAACAGCTTAAGGAGCCAGCGTGCCACCCTCGGCACCATTGGTTTTGTCAATTTCGCGGTTGTCATCGCCTGACAATCAGTAATGACGGTAAAATGCTTACCTAGCAAGAACATTTTAAATCGTTCGCACGCCTCGACAACTGCGAGCACTTCCAGCTCATATGCATGGAAGTTCTTCTCTTGTGGCGTGCACGCTCGGCTGTAGTACGCAATCGGTTTCAAATCGTTAGCCTCTCTTTGCAGCAAAATTGCAGCTACACCCACACTTGAGGCATCTGTGTGTAGCTCGTGTTCCTTTGAAACGTCATAAATTGTGAGCACCGGAGCATCTACAATTAACTTAATTAAATGCTGGAACGCCTCTTCACAGCTGGAGTCCCAATTGAAATCGATGTTCTTCTTCGTCAACTGAGTGAGCGGCTCAGCAATGTGTGCAAACCCGGGAACGAACTTGCGGAAAAACCCAGTTAACCCCAAAAATCTTCTTATCTCTAACTGATTTCGTGGTGTCGGATATGCTTCTATAGCTGACGTCTTAAAAATTCCAGGTCTTACTCCATTAACATCTACCTGGTGACCTAAAAATGTTACCTCGCGCCTCAAAAACGAACATTTCGATACCCTCAACGTCAAGCCCTCTTCTTGAATTAATTTTAAAAATTCTTCTAAATAAAATAAATTTTCCTCCTCTGAATCGGTTGCTATTATCACCTCGTCTACATAAGTAACCACTACTTTGCTCAAAGGTGCAACTAATTGTGACATCATTCTTTGAAAGACGCACGGCGCATTCCTCAACCCGAATGGCATTCTATTAAACTCGTAATGCCCGTTATGCGTTACGAATGCGGTAAGAGGCTTTGCGTCTTCTTGTAATTCAATTTGGTAGTACCCAGACATAAGGTCCAGCGTCGTGAAAAACCTCTTACCTGACAATGTTGCCAGAACGCCATCCACTGTGGGCATTAACCACGGCTGCTTCTCCGTTATCGCATTAAGTTCGCGATAATCCACGCATAGCCTATCCTCTCCATTTTGCTTACGCACCAGAACGACAGGAGATGCATAACATGAGCTCGACCTACGAATTACGCCTAGGTGCAACAACTCACCAACTATTCCCTCCACAACTTGTTGCTTCGGAATAGGTACGCTGTATGGCTTTTTTGAAATTGGTCTCTGTGACGTTAATTGAATGTTCATCTTGAACCTCTTAGATCTACCAAGTTCAGGCAACCTTTCACCAAAACAATCTGCATACCGGTTCACTAACTCAACTATCTTTTATTCAACACTGTAATTCAGCCCTTTTCCGATATCTAAAACACATTTAGCAATCGACATTACTCTGCATGTACCACCTTCAATAATTACCTTCCCCTTCGAAAGCACATCAATCCCAACAAGTGCGTCGTGTGGCATCGCAGAATCGGCAACAATCAACAACTCGACCAAACGAGTAACATTATCCATCTTAATGTTAGCTAACACTTTACCGTGGCATACTAGTTCACCACCCGCAAAACCGATTAATTTCTCACTGCACGCACTGACACACAAACCACACCTTGTTGCAATTGATTGCTTCACCAGGGATTTGCTGCTACCTGAGTCAATAAGTGCCTTGCACTCAACTTCATTTCTACCTGCGATTCTAATTTGTTTACACAACTCTTTACATACATTCTCGGCGTATATATTATTCACCGACGTTTCGTTTTCTATTATTTCCTCGTTTTCTACGCTTTCTTCACATTCATCACTCATTATCTGGTTGATGCGATCGTTTTGTTTTGCTTCAAATTTCCTCTTCGCTTTGTCACAATTTCTTGCTATGTGCCCCTTTTCTCTACAATTATAACAAATTGGACCAACTGAGCTTTTAAAATTCTTATTCGCATCAACCGATACGTGTGATGATTGCTGTTGAACATTCTTGTAGTTCGTTTCATTCACTCTATTTCTATTCTCACTATTTGTCGGTATGTTTGACAACGATTGCAGCAAATCCGCGCACTTTGTAAATTTCATAGCACTTAATGTCTTACGCAGACTATCGTCACTTATACCATTCAAAATGTATCTTATTATCGAAGTGTCTTCGATATTGTCCCTGCGGCCTATTGCCAACATCTTGTAGTAAAACTCAATTAACTTCTCACTTTTGTTCATCTTCATACTCATCATTTGAATATGCGCATCTGCAGAATTTCTAACGCACGGAAAGTCAGTGAGAAACGCAACCACAAAATCGTTCCATTCCCGGAATGCTGGCTGCGCATGAGCCCATCGCTTTGCAACTCCTCTCAGCCGACTGAGAACAGCAAAAACAACAAACGTATCTTCCCATTGATACATTGTTCTCAGTTGCTCGACTCTCTCAATAAACTGCGTTGATGAATACGTACTGTCAAGAGGGTTGAACTCTGGCAGAATCGCTGCTATTTCACTTGGTGTGCGAGTGAATCTATCTCTCCCTGCGTACCTCTCGCCAAATCGCGAATATGGTGGCGTCAACCAAGCGTCTGCTGCTTGCGTTGTTCTCCATGCCTGTGCACTCGGCATGCTTTGGCACGTTGAAAATACTTGTTGCGGCGCCGTTGTTTGCTGGCTTGTATTCGGCAAAAACGACTGCTGTTGTGAAATCGGAAACGGCTGCTGCAACATAGGCAGCGCACTTGTGCAAGGCGTTAGCATTGCCGACGGCGACCTGCTAACCATTGCTGCTTGTGGCAAAAAATGCTCGACGCACAAAGCACCGCACTATGATGCCAATTTGCTGAAGAATATACTGGAACATTTGCCTCCACAGGACGTTGAGTCTGCAACTGTGCAGTTAGCTGTCCAACGGCGGCACACAGCGCACTAACCTGCACCTCCAATTGCATCATGACTCGTACGTCGTCCCTCGACGGCTCCCCACTTTTCTGCCGATCCGCATCATCCGCCTGTGCAACACATGCACCCACTTGCGAAAACGAATCAAAAATCGGCATCACTAAATCTGCGTCCACTTCCTGGAGACGACTAATTAACTCCGCTTTAGTGCCACTTGTCTTCAACTGAAGCTTCACTAAGGCTTCTTTTAATTGCGCAACATTAAAGCGATTTAGGTCCATTTTACTTCTGATATCTGTCACCTCGGACAGATGCCAAGATGGCTGTTTTTTCGTTGAACTCAAATTAACGACTCCCCTTCATGAATACATAAAATG